CACATTCCATAACAAGCATCCCATAAAGGAAGACTTTTTAAGAGTTCGCTGAACTCTGATGTGTTGTGACGAGAAGCTCAGATTTCCCAGCCTAGCTGTAAATCACAACACAACCCACAACCGTACTTTTGAAGCGCCGAAGAAGACGATTTCCAATTAGTACGTAGATCGTCGCTCGTTATGGCCTGTTGGCAGTCGAGACGTTGTCCGATATTAACACATTCTTGTGTATTTCAATAGTATGTTAAATAGAATCCTGTTTATATTTTAAACCGCAATGTCACACGTAGATAATCTACTTCCTGATCATCAGATTTCAGTTCCTTGTGTTGAAAAATCAGGTGCTAGCTTGGTCATTTGGCATATTAATCCCCCCCCCCCCCCCCGGGTATGCCTGGTAAAGTTCTATAAACAGTATATAAAAGTATTACGTCAAACTATACACACCCACAAAGTCGCCGGGGATCTGAGTTCATCTCAAGTGATCTGCACTGTGTGTTTGTATGTGCACGCTGGAGCGCGGGTGTGTTTGTGTAATACACATTGCTAAAGTCACATACAATTAACACAGGAACGACACGAAGTAGAGGACAGAAAGCAAATGGTAGAGGAGCTTGATGAGATAATGAGGGCACATATAGTACTGGGATAACATGTAGCAACCTGGGAAGGGTGGGGGAGGGGAGGAGAGGGAGGGGTTAATAATAATAATAATAATAATAAGAGTAAGAAAAAAAAAAGAAGTAGAAACAGAAGATTGTGATGGCCAGTGGGCATCTGCAACAGCAATGGAAGAAGAAGAGGAAGAAGAAAAAGAAATAGTATGAGAAGACGAAGGAGGAGGAAGAGGAAGAAGACATGATACATGTCTGTAACCTAAGGTGCCATTTCAATGGGTTGGAATGAATTATGTCCGTATGTTTAAGTTGTGGATTTCAAGCTGTACTAATAAGACATCTTTTTTGGGGTGCCTAGTTGACCATGTTCTTAATGCACTTGTTTCCATAGCGAGGCACACACGCCGTCTGGGAGTGACGGGTTCGATTCCTTGTACGGTAACTATAGCTTTCCATTTTTATGTTGTCTAGTGTGTTCTTCTACTTTCTTCTTCTTTCTATGAGTGCCAATCAATACATTTTCTGTTACTTTATAAATATATAATATTTAACGGCCTCAATGGTTCCTCTTTATTCATGTGAATGACGTATACACACCGGAACCTAACAATCAAATACCTTTCTTAAATGTTTGTGTATTCTAGACAAAGCATTAAGGTGTACTGTGTTCGTAAATTGTTACTGTGCTTGTTATTCGACCTATGCTTCGTGAATATAAATATATGTAACCTAGACTACCATGAAAATGAATTGAAATGAATTCTGTCTGATTCCAAAGTTGTGGATTTCACGCTGTACAATGGACATTTTCTGTTACTTGATTATTATACAGTATTTAACGGCCTCAAGGGTTTCCCCTCTGTTTATTTATGCAAAAGACCTGATGCATGAAAACAAAGAAGACGTGGTAATTGTATCAACTTTGATAGTTTGTGTGTGTGTGTATACTTATAAACGTGTCATCATCTTCATCATGTAGCAGGTCCTTTGCAGAACGTCGCTCTCATCACAGCCTGCCTGAAAGAAACTCGGTCTCTCGCCAGCTCTCCCGCCTCATGCATTTTTACACTCAAGGAGTCACTTATATCCTATGCCCATCTTCGTGTTGGTCAGCCCCTGCCCCTCCTTCCTGGTACCATGCCTTCTGCTATAATTTTTTTTCCAATCCGTCGTGGCGTTTGATATGACCAAAATATTTCAGCTCCCAAAACAGGATGCTGTTTATTAGCCAATCAATCTTCCTTGATGCTCAGATCTTTCAAGATGTCAGTATTTCTCCTTTTTTTCGTCCAAGATATTCTGAGAATCTTTCTATAGCATTTCAGCTCAAAAGCCCCTATTCTCTTTCTTAAGGACTTAAAAACGTGTCTAAGTGTCTCTATTAGTGTGTTTGTTTTGTTGTTCACCTTTGAATACGTGGCTTCTGCATTTTAGTCCTTGGGTCGGGCTGGTGTCTTTTTTTTTTCCTGGCCCGACTTACCGACTTAGACTGTGACGGTGGTGTGTTTGAAGTTGTTATTCTCTTTTTTTTTTCTTCTAGTATAACGTATTTATTACTAAGTTAATGAGTCCTGGCTATCTTCAGGGGTAACATTACTTTTCTTTGAATACTTGTTTATACTGTTTTAATTTCGCAGTGAGTCTTTTTTGGCCTTTCCATGTTCTCTTGTTTTAGAGTCTGGGTTGGGTGGTTCTCAGTCTGGTTATGTAATGTTTGCAGAGCGACATACGCAAGTACTAAGACTGTCACAAGAAACAACGCCGCACCTCACTGATCTTATTCCAGTTACACGAGAGACAAGATGGCGATATGTTTGGTACGTCTGAAGAGAAGTGGACAAAGAATTAGTAACCAAACACTTAAACGGGAAACACGTGAACTAAAGACGTCCAGGAAACACGTGAACTAAAGACGTCCAGGAAACACATAAACTGAAGAGAGTCCACGAGAAACCATAAGTCGAATGTTGGAGGGGAGAGAGAGTATATATATATATATATATATATATATATATATATATATATATATATATATATATATATATAGAGAGAGAGAGAGAGAGCGAGCGAGAGAGAGAGAGAGAGAGAGAGAGAGAGAGAATGAGATAGAGAGAGAGAGAGAGAGAACTAATGAACAAACTTTATTTTCAAAGTGTTAAGAATTGGGTACGCAGGTCCGTCTAACATTCTGCCCTACCAATACACTCCTTGCATACAGTTATTCATGCTAACAACATTCCATGGTTTAACATAATTAAAAAATATTCACAACATCTAAGTTCCAATTACACACACACACGCACATACACCCACACCGACGCGCGCTTACACACACACACACACACAGAGAGATAGAGAGAGAGAGAGAGAGAGAGAGAGAGCTGCGGATTTCATTTGGAATGTTTTTCGACTGTCACTAACGTGGTGGTGTGAACTGTAGATTCAGAAAATGGCGCGATGCCTGTTGTCACAATGTTGGTGGGGCCATTATGTGATTAAAATTGATCGCGTGTGCAACTGCTGATCTTTCGGTGACTTCTGCTAACATCAATTATGAACTGCATTTCTAATGTCGAACTGTTTGTGCTAGCACTTCGGATGGCTACCGTATGCTTGTAATGAGTGTGTATGCTAGATTTGCTGAGACAGCAATCTGTCAGTCTTTCCACAAGGGATTGTGATAAACATTCTGTGTGTGTTTTTCGCTGGCACAGGAGCGGAGCAACTATACTGTGACCCGTTTGCTATGAAGCTGAAACTGAGACTACCAGATTAACAGAGAGAGAGAAGGAGAGAGAGAGAGAGAAAGAGAGAGAGAGAGAGAGAGAGAGAGAGAGAGAGAGAGGGCAAAGATAATACGGGACCTGACTGGTTTCCACCCATGACATGGCGAAACGTGGACAGTAGTCGAAATTGACCTCGAGCCAAGTGAGCATAGTGATGTTAATGACGGTAATGATGATGATGATGAAATTTTAACATAAACTCGCTAGCGAACACAACGCAACGGGAAAACCCTTCTAGCCATAGTTTTAAAAATATTTATTGATAAGAGCTGGCAGGTAGGTAGCTAGTTGTACCCAACCAGGACATCACACAAGAGATAAACACCCCGTAAAAAAAAGTGCCACCACGCGGATCAGGATCATCCGTGGAGAGGTCACAGAAACCCCTTTCAGCCGCTAGGCCATATCTATGGCTAGGCCATACCTATGCCCCGGCTATATTCACGGCCTCCGGCAGAAGTCAGAATGGGGCTTCTAGTAACAACAAAATTGCATCTCACATGGGAGACATAGGCTATACTGCGTTCGACAGCACCATCAAAGTCATCTTCATCAAACCGCCGGCTCTTTAAAGAATGACGTGCTCTGGGTGGCACGCCTGAAAGCCCAAATATCTTTGGCCAATTCTAGCACTAAACATATTAAACAAAAAAAAAAAAAAAATCTAATCCCCGTCCCTACGTGGGGCGTATTTTTCGTTACTTTTGAAGCCACACCCTGGTTGTTGACGGGGGCCATAAAATAACCTAACAGTTGAAAGGGGTTACTGGGACCTCACCAAGGGGTAATCCTTATCTGAATGGTGGCGCTTTGTGTCACCGGCTGTTAATCGCTCAGTGTGATGTCCTAGTGGGTTAAACAGTCAGTCTCCATATGCTCTCATAACAATGCATCTTTAATGACCTTATCCACGTTTGCATTAGTCGACCTTCGCCTCAGTTTTACAGAAACTATTCCAGTAGAGACACTCCCCCCCCCCCCCTCCACAATGTTAAAATAGTTAAATTTACAACTGGGGAATATTGCTTCGACTTTAGCTGTGTCGCTTTTGACTAAGCCGGATGTGAAAACCGTAGTTCTGAGGAACAGAAATAGGGAATGATAACTGGATTCCCCGCTACGACAAACAACGCTGGGTTTTCTTGAAGCGCGTGATAGTGTCTGTTATAACTTCAGGAAGAAACACTTAACACATGGTAGTGAGAAATAGTTTCAGTCCTAAAGAAGAACTGTGACACTATTTGTTGTTATCAAATGTGTATGGCGTGTTATATAGTTCTACAAACCATTGTGGAATCAGTATAAAACATATTTCCAAGTGATAGCATGAGAAAATAATAAAACTAACTTAAAACTGTTGACGCAAGTAACAAAACATTCAATGATACACTGAAAAGATAAAAGCACGTACAAACTGAGCGGTTCAGTAGTTAGTGAAGATGATTCGTCCACCACTTAGCGTGAGATATACATTCATGTGTGCAGATCGGAAGTCAGAGAAGCAAATGAACAATTCAATGATCAGAGGACACATTGCATAACTTACACATCGAAAACTTCAGTTACCACACCGGATTCCTCAAAAATTTATATTTCTATGTATTTCCTATGGGTAAAGGGACTTTGATATTCTGCGCTCAACGTCTACCTGCTCGTTTTCTGTGTAAGTATTTAGAAAACGGAAAGTGTACAAAATGTAATACGTTGGTGTAAATGTGTCAATAACCACCGGTATACCTGTCTGTCCGTCCGTCTACTTGTGTTGCTTAAAGGAATGTCATTTCACAGTGACAAACAAGACACACCCAAAAAAAAAAAAAAATTTTAAAAATGGGGAAGGGAAAAGGGGTGTAGAGAATTATATATATATTAGACCAATCGGCACTTGGTTGGTGATGTGGTCAACAGCAGGCCGGCAGCCTTTATTTCACAGGACTGCACCTGGTACCCACTCAAGGCTGGGTCGACTTGGCAGCCAATTTCATTTTTGAAGAAAACCAGGTTCCGTCAGGTAACCTTGGTAATCTTAGTTTCAGCTTCATAGGAAACGAGTCACCCCATAGTTGCTCCGCTTCTGTACCAACGAAAAACACACAGAATGTTTATCCCAGTCCTTTGTGGAAAGATTGACAAACTGTTGTCTCATCGTATGCACTAGCATACACACGTATTAAAAGCATACGGTAGCCATCGAAAGTGCTAACACAAACAGTTTGACATTAGAAATGCAGTTCATCATCGATGGTAGCAGAAGTTACCAACAGATCAGCAGTTGCACAAGCGATCAATATTAATCACATAAGGGCACCACCAATATTGCGGCGAACAGCGACGCGCCACTTTCTGAAACTACAGTTCACAACACCACGTTGGTCGCAGTAGAAAAACATTCCAAATGAAATCCCAGGTCACAGGGTCGCGCCATGCACTAAACTCAGTAGCTGGCGCGACGAAACTGTATCTTTTCAGTCTACAAATGGATCCAAAATGCAACAGCCACCGTCTGGCAGAAGCAAAAAAAATTGCCTCGACGCGAAACACTGACTACTGGCGTCCATTTAGACCGGAAGTTGACCCTAACCCACGTTCCGTCAGGACCCGAACCCACGGCGGCTCCCGTAGATAATTAGAGACTGAAGTAAATGAGATGGTAAGGACAAGGAGTGGGCAGATGACGACTTGGCTCCAAATGATGACCATTCAGAAGACAACTTGGCTCCACATGAAGACCATGCAGAAGATAACTTGGCTCCAAACAATGACCATGCAGAAGACAACTTGGCTCCACACAATGACCACACACGAGACAACTTGGCTCCACACAATGACCACACAGAAGACGACTTGGCTCCACACTATGACCACACAGCAGACAACTTGGCTCCACACTATGACCACACATAAGACAGCTTGGCTCCACACAATGACTACACTGAAGACAACTTGGCTCCACACGGTTACCACACAGAAGACAACTTGGCTCCACACAATGACCATGCAGAAGACAACTTGGCTCCACACTATGACCTCATAAAAGACGGCTCCACACAATGACCACACACGAGACAACTTGGCTCCACACGATGACCATGCAGAAGACAACTTGGCTCCACACAATGACCACACAGAAGACAACTTGGCTCCACACAATAACCATGCAGAAGACAACTTGGCTCCACACAATGACCATGCAGAAGACAATTTGGCTCCACAAAATGACCACACAGAAGACAACTTGGCTCCACACGATGACCACACAGAAGACAACTTGGCTCCACACAATGACCATGCAGAAGACAACTTGGCTCCACACAATGACCATGCAGAAGACAATTTGGCTCCACACAATGACCACACAGAAGACAACTTGGCTCCACACTATGACCACACAGAAGACAACTTGGCTCCACACTATGACCACACAGCAGACAACTTGGCTCCACACTATGACCACACATAAGACAGCTTGGCTCCACACAATGACCACACAGAAGACAACTTGGCTCCACACGGTTACCACACAGAAGACAACTTGGCTCCACACAATGACCATGCAGAAGAAAACTTGGCTCTACACAATGACCACACAGAAGACAACTTGGCTCCACACAATGACCATGCAGAAGACAATTTGGCTCCACAAAATGACCACACAGAAGACAAATTGGCTCCACACGATGACCACACAGAAGACAACTTGGCTCCACACAATGACCATGCAGAAAAAAACTTGGCTTCACATGGAGACCACGCAGAAGACAACTTAGCTCTGCACGATGGCCATGCAAAAAACAACTTGGCTCCACATGATGGCCATACAGAAGACGACTTGGCTCCACATGATGGCCACGCAGAAAACAGCTTGGCTCCACATGATGACCATGCAGAAGACGACTTGGCTCCACATGATGGCTATGCAGAAGACGACTTGGCACTAGTTGAATGAGGGTCTATGCACTATTAGAAATTTGTGGGGCAGAATAACCGACATCACAATACTGGTAACATTCCAATAAGCTCCTCGTCACCACCTGTTGCAGCCAGCGAAGAGTTCAGATTTCGACGATACCATAAGCAGTCTGATTGTTTGGCCGTCTTGCTTTCCCTCTGGATGTTGAATGTTAGCTAGCTAGATAAATATAACGAATACAAGTAATGTGTATAGCCATGAACATCAAGGAAGACTGGCTGATAAACAGCGTCTTGTCTCGGAAGCTGAAATGTATTGCTTATATCAAACGCCATAGCAGATTGAAAATAAAAATAATAACAGAAGACATGGTACCAGGAAGGAGGGACAGGGGCCGACCTACAGTAGATGGGCTCAGGGTATAAGTGACTCCTTTATTAGGAAGTATATGAGGGAGCTGGAAGAGCTGGCGAGAGACCGAGTTTCTTTCAGGCAGACCTTCTGCAAAAGACCTGCTATACGATGATGAGGTTTAAGGTTTGAGGTTTTGGACAACGTATCAACATCATGGCACACGGGTAGTTACCCATAAGTGCTCCTTTCTTCTTCTAACTAAGGTCTGAGTCCGAAGAAGCTGAACACAGTACACAGACTCTGTATCACCGGCAAGGATCCTGAAATATTTTGGGTAGATTTTTAACTCAAAATTTTTGCCCGGGCTGCACCATTAGGCTACTCTTTTCGATTTCTAACTGCCAAGAGATTTTTTTTTACGTGCGCAACAATGCACATGGGCGCCCGATCTCACTACCCAGAGACCAGGGAAAATTACTAGAAATCCAAGTCCACGTGAAAAAATCCCAGCCTTCACCGGGGCTTGAACCCGGGATCTCCAGCACTCGAAACGAATGCCATTCCTCGAGACCACGCAGCTCCCACGTTCTGCAAAAGACCTGCTTCACGATGATGATGTATAGCCACGAAACACTGTTGTTTTAAAATAATCAAAATTCCTTATATTTCTAGATGTTTTCGAAAAGTGAAGATATACTAAATTTGATACCATTTTCTGTTATAAACAGTACCCACCGCCCTTTTACAAAAATGTTATAAGAATAGTATTCACGGCCAGTGCGCCAGCTTAAAATTCGTCCTTTTTAGGATGAAATTTTTTGTTATTTGAAGCCCTACCCTGGCTTTTGCCAGGGGCCGCAATATAGACAGGCCATAAATATGGCCAATTGTCTGAACGCGGTTTCTGGGACCTCTCCACGGTGATCCTCATCCACATGGCGGCACACTGTGTCATCAGGTGTTGATCGCTTGTATGATGTCCTTGTGTCCTTGTCGGTCAGTTAATAAGAATAGTGGGATGCAATTGTTTGTCATTTGAAGTCCTACTCTGGCTCTTGCCAAGGACCGCAGTATAGCCCGGCCATAAATATAGTATAATGGCCTACGCGGTTTCTGGGACCTCTCCACGAGTGATTCTCATCCACATGGTGGCACGTTGTGTCATCGGGTGTTTATCGCTTGTGTGATGTCCTGGTGGGGTAAAAGAAGATAGAAGAATAAGAATACCATACTAAGCGGTCCCCTAACCATGTACTGTAAAATTTAAGTAAAGGATCATTTTCCACGCCTTCCAGCCTTCTGGGCATATAGGGCCAGACTATTATTGCATCGACCAATTGGTATCTGGTGGGTCATGTAGTCAGCATCATGCCAAGTGCCTTTACTTCCCCGATTTTACCTGGTATCCACTCAAGGCTGGGTCGACCTGGAAGCCAAGAACATTTCTGAAGAAAAGTCTGCCTCCTTCAGACCCGAATCCACGACCTTCAGATCGGCAGGCGAAAGTCTAGCCGCTTCACCACGGCGGCTCCCAACCATAAACAGTACATGTACACTTCGCAAGCATTCGTTCACACTGTACATATAATTACAAATATATACACACAAAATGGTGCACTCAGCATTTTATTATTATTATTAGCGAGCACTTAAACAAGTCGTAAGGCCAATGATGCCCCTTCTATAACTTTTATAAGCGGACTATGATCCCCTGTCAAAAGACTTTCTTTGTGTCGCCGCCCCAATGATAGATTATGAGAAGTATAATATGGTGTTTTTGATAAAGGATTTTGTTTTTTAATGCTTTACTTCGTTTAAGAAATATTGAAGTATTTTAGTGTTAAAACACAAGTCAACAGCTCTTTACGCCTACCTACATTTGTGTAAGGGTTCTGTCTTCAAAAATCGTAATCTCAATAACGTCTTTGTCACGAAAATATCAGTTTATGCAGGCTTGAAAATTTCCATAGCTGACTTCATTACTAGAGTAATACGGGAAATATTGTAGACTTCTTACTGTTTTTAGGATTCACCCACTGAAAAGCCCGGCTGATGGTTTTTGGCTGTTGTTTGCAGACTGTTGGTTCATATCCTTCAGGTAGATGCATTCTGACTTCAAAGAAAACACCCCTAAATAGTAGACTTTAACGTTATGCTTGATATAAATATTTATACCCGGCACAATTATCATGATAATGTAATTTTACTATTTTGTAGTAATAGTTGTAAGAGCTAATATTAACAACATTAGCAATAATTTTAGAACAGGTGAAAAAAAAAACATTAAGGTAAGGATACTTTTCAACGACTTCAGACGTATTGTGTATATAGGGATAGACCTTAGAAGAAGAAGACGAAGAAGAAGAAGAAGAAGAAATCAACACCTACATTATCTTTAATATATCCAACGCCATATGTAAACTAACGTGCGGCACTAAACAGCTACAATAATATAATTCGTAAATATCTGTCTTCTCCCATTCTTTCCTCAGACTAACAAATGTAGGCAAACGTAAACAAGAAACAGATTAACTCACAAAAATACGCCTCACCTATTGTATATATTTATTATTTACCAGTCTGTCAGCACCTCACAGGTTTTGCATCCTACATTACACACAGGAATTAACCTTCGGCACGTAAACGGGGATTCCCCCCGAGTGAGTGTTTTCCAGCGGAAATAAAATATCATGTACGGGGTTGCTATAGCGTCAAGAAGAATCCATGTTTTGAATCGGCCAACAGTTTTTCGGGGATCGGGGAGGGGTTTCAACTTTGTATTTTTCGCTATTGTTTACAAAAATATTTTAAAAATTATCTATTTATCCGCATGATAATAAACGTTGTTTATGCGTACAAGTCATTGGATTCCTCGAAATAAAAGTCAATTCTGGATTTTCTATATCGGCTAACGTTAACCACTACAGTGACCGTATATACATTATATAAGTAGATATCCTAATATTCATTACCTTTTGTGTCAAACAATTTACATTACCATTTATGTGACACCGTCGTTTGCGTCTTCAAAATCTTGAAAAGTAAGTATTTGACAAATTTACTGTACCGTTTTTATTTAAATTAGAGCTTTTAAGTAGTATATTATTCTCCATATTCCCTAAAAACACCCAGAACTGAAGGGCAACTAGTCAGTTTCCCAATAAAATACAAACGATAAGATTAACATTGCAGATAAAGAGCATTCATCAGCAGCACATGTAGCCACACAGAGACGCTCTCTTTTTAAGTAATTGTTTACACACTTCATATTATTTCAAATACTTCTTCGCGTTCACCAGCTGTAAAATCTGGCGGCAAGTTTTGGTTGTTCATCCACTTCTTGACTGCAGTCCTGTTCCAGAACCTGAGTGTTGCGTGTGCTTCCGTTTTACAAATCTGACCCATTTGTATGCAGACTGCTGGTCCCTTGCCTCTCAGACAGATGCACTCTGACTTTAAAGGAAGCTCCTAGTTAGTCGACTCTTACGACATGCTTTTGGGTAGTCAGTGGGTCTATTCTTTTCTCCCCTATAACAGGGCACCGGAACCCACACGGGGAATTTCAAATACTAATATTTGCCTTTCAGCTAGGCGTGATGTTGACCACATCATTCACCGAGTGCCAATTGATCTATAAAACATAGGTCTAGCCCTATATGCCCAATACACCTACTGGCGTGGAAACAGTTCTTTACTTTTATTTGATTTTCAGCACATATTAATGGTGATCATTATAATTGCGCACTTAAACAGGGCTGAAGCTCTTTAGCCTTATAAATTATAAGGGGGCCTGAGGGCCCTATATTTAGAGGTGGCAGCGCATGCCTAACACCACAATGTACAATGATACAACTGCAATAAAATAAAACTACATAAAATAACGTAGCTGTTTAGATCTGGTCTAGAAAACTTGAACTGACAATGTGAAAAGTGTTTAGTTAGATACCAGGCATATTTTTTTTTTTTTTTGGGAGGGGGGAGGCCTTAGCCCTGCACGCCACCAAGAGCCCTGAAAAGGACTCCTGCAGTGTTGATGAGATTAAAGGAGATATACCCAAATACTGTCCAGACCGGCGACGAAGTCGTCTACCAGCGAGCCAGTGGGCGGCCCGGTCGCCGATGTACTTAGTTGAGTAGTGCAAATACACAGCGTGAGACGATCTATACGATTGTAAGATAATAAACCAGGATATGTT